CTGAGGACAGGAAATGAAGGCTGGGCAGAGGGCTTCTGGGGATGCTCGGACTTCTTCTGTCCCAATTTTCCTCCCTAGGGCACTTTGTACTCCTTCCAGCACACACACTGTGAGCCTAGGGAGGAAAAAACTTGGAAGGCTGTCAATCAGGATAATTGCAGAAAAGAATAAAGGTCAGACAAAGGGATAAAGATGAGACTGGTCTGGTATCCAGAAAAGGAACCGCATTTGATGGAGTGGGACAAGTAGCTATGGAATAAACATATTGATGGAATTTCTTTGTTAGCCATAGGTCAACATGGTAAGACAGACCCTATATTAGGAAATAAATACTGCCTGTTATCCACCTATGTACCAGGCATCTTCTGGGCTATAGGTAATAGCTCTATTTATCTAGCGTTTTACTTCTTTTGGGGAGGGCGAGGTGGGGAGGTTAACAAAGCTAAGAGAGAAAGGATGCCCCAGTGGCCTAGAAAGGAGCCTGATTCTGAGCCTAAGCCTGGGACAAAGACAGTGACTTCAACTAGGCATGATAGCTGAAGTGGGAGGATTGCCCCTATTTCAAGGCCAGCCTGGTCTACAGAATGAGACCTTGTCTCAAAAAAGGGGGACAGTGGCAGACAGTGGCTCTGAGCCATTCACAGTCCCTCAGTAACTTGGTGAAGGTAGGATGAGAGGACCCACTTCTGCCTCCTTTCTGTGTGGATCTGAACATAACTGTCACTGCCAGCCCGTTAGAGAACTCCTGCCCAAGATCTCCAGAAGAACCTTGCCTCAAAAAACCTCAAAAAACACCTTGCCACTCTTAACTTATACAGGTGCTGAGGGAACCCATGGTAACTGGTTAAATTGGGCAAAATACAACCAGACATGATGGTGTACACCTACAACCCAATACTGAGAGAGCAGAGGCAGGTTCAGGACCAGCTTGGTGTATACAGCTAGTCCAGGCTAGCCAGGGCTTTATAGTGAGACCTGGTCTCAAAATAACAAAACAAAACAAAATCATACAAAGTTCAAGGAAACCTAGTAGTTTGAGAGACAGAAAAATCACACTAAACAGCCAAAATGAATAGCTCCTGGGGACAAGAAATAGAAAGAAAATTAAAAATAGATAAGGTGGGTGGTGGCGGCGGCATGCACCTTGAATCCCAGCACTTAGGAGGCAAAGGCAGGTGGATCTCTGTCAGCTCAAGGCCACCTTGGTCTACAGAGTGAGTTCTAGGACAGTAATGGCTATACAGAGAAATCCTGTCTTGAAAAACCAAAATAATAATAATAATAATAATACAGAAAAAGCCACGCAGTGGTGGTGCACTCCTTTAATCCTAGCACTTGGGAGGCAGAGGCAGGTGGATCTCTGTGAGTTTGAGGCCAGCCTGGTCTACAGCCAGGGCTATACAGAGAAACCCTGTCTCAGGAAAGAAAAAAAAAATACAGAAAAGATGTTTGAAGGGGCAAAAGCCCCATGGTTTTCCAATCTTGACATGTAATCAAATTGTAAAGTTGATGCCCCATAAAATTCACACTAAAGATCAGTTGGGAAACTATCCATTTTACAATACTACAAATAAAAGGAAGCCATTACCGAAAGATGAAAGAGCCCGTAGAGGAAGAAACAGGGAACTAATATGAAGCAGGAGCTTCAGGAGCAGATAAAAGAAGCATAAAAGTCAGCAAACTGCAAAGGAAAAATCATTTGGACTTTAAAGACAATTTCAGGCTGAGTACAAAGACTGACTCATGAACTAAGATATTCCTTAGATATATCCTAGTGATATTTTTTATCTTTAAAAATCAAGAGCTTAGATTTGAGGTGATGAAAATGCTCTGGAGCTAGATAATAATCATGATGGGATGACATGAATATACTAAACGTGACTGGTGGTAGATTTTGTTATATGAATTTACCACCCAAAAATTAACATCCAACGTATAAGTTTTTAGAGATAAGTGATGGGTTACTAAAATGAACAAACTACTATTTCTATCATATCATGATTGAGTATGAAATGTCCCACAAAATGGTTTCTGTTTGAAGACGTAGTCTCCAATTCTTGAGAGACTATTGGATCAGGAGAGTACTAGCTTCATCACTAAGAATACCCTGGTTAGAATTTTCAGTGGTGGCAAAATGAGCTGTTTTGTTTTGTGAGACAGGGGCTGGCCTGGGAACTCAGTGTATACACCAGAGCTGGTCTCAAACTTTAGAAATTCACCTGCCTCTGCCTCCTGAGGGCAAGAAGGCATGGCCTACCATGTCCAGAAAAATAAGATGACTTTTGTTGTTTTAAACAGAAAGGGAATTTGAGAGGCTATGATACATAACTCAGAAATTGCCCATACCTCAAATGTCGGGCTTAGAAGAAGTAGAATTTGAGTAACAAACTTGTTTAGATAGATTCTAGATTCTGTGATCAGAGAATGAGTACAAGTTTATTCCCTAGGACTGTTTATAAGTACTGGTGACCAGCAACGGAAAATCCAGAGCTCCTGAAAGGAGAGAAGTGTAGGGCCTAACCCCCAACAGCAGTGCAGTACGGCAAGAAATTAGCTCTAGAAGGGCCTGTTCCTTCAGCACTTGGAAATTGAAAAGAAAATTTTAAAGAAGTATTAAAAAACAAATTATAGGCTATTAAAAGTGATAACACAATAAATCAGAATCTTTGGAATATAAAAAGCATTTTTTAGAAAAATTTATTTTTATCTTTCTTGGTTTAAGCATCCTGCTCAAAGAGGTAAGAAAGCCTTTCAAAGTCTGTTAAGAAGGAAAGCTCAAAGAACAGCATCAGGAGTGGTGCTGTGTCTAGGAAAGCAAAAGGCAAGACCAAGCTGTCTTCAGAAGCAGAGAGCTGAAACCAGTCACCTCAGATGGCTGGGGAGGTCCCGGTGTGTTGTCTTTATGAGTTAGTGCTAGTACACACAGAAATTGAGGTTCATTTTTATTATTTAAATTTCAGATCAATAAAAAAGAGTAGAAGCTTCCCAGAAATAGGATTCCCATAATGCCAACTTTGAACAAAGAACAAGGATATGTGCATATACAGATGTGCATATGACTTTAGCTTCACTTAGAACCAGTATTGTTTTTAGTGCAAAAAACATTTCAAATCCAGCAATGAATGTATTTTTTTCTAAAGAATTCTTCCCCTCTCCATTGAAGATGATAATAATGGAAGCTGGAGAGATGGCTCAGTGGTTAAAGGTACTTTTTGCTCTTGCAAAAGACCTAGATTCAGTTTCCCAGCACCCACATGAAGGCTCACAACTGTCTGTAACTCTTGTTGCACGAATCCTAAATGGTCTTATAATAAAAACCCAAGAGCCAGATATCAGGGCGAAAGCTAAAAGATCAGAGAAGCAGAGCAAGCCACAGCCACCACCTCTTCCCTCACCAACTCCTCAGCATGAAAGAGAGCAAGTTCCTGTCTCCTCCGGCCTTATATTCCTTTCTCTGCCAGGCCATATCATTTCCTGTCTCAACCTTCCTAGTGTTGGAATTAAAGATGTGTGATCCCAAGTGCTGAAATTAAAGGTGTGTGCCACCACTGCCTAGCTCTGGTTCTCTTTTAGACTGGATTAATCTTGTGTAGCCCAGTGTGGCCTTGAACTCACAGAAATCCAGATCTCTGCCTCTGCCTCCCGAGTGCTAAGATTAAAGGTGTGTGCCACCATTGCCTGACCTCTATGTTTAATCTAGTGGCTGGCTCTGTCTTCTGATCTTCAGGCAAATTTTAGTACAACACTCTTTAGTTCCAAAGGTCTAACACCCCCTTTTGGCTTTTGTGGACACTGCATGCACATAGTGCACAGACATATGCAGGCAAAACACACACATAAAATTATTTTTTAAAAAAATAATGACAATGCTGGTGAAGATTAATTCATGTTTGTGATGACAGGAAATTTAAGGGAACTCTATTTTCAGTTTTAATGTAAACCTAAAACTACCCTCTGCAGTTTATTAGTAATAGAGGATGTATTCAAAAATTCCATCCTTCTCTTTCACTGTCTGGAATTCTCAGATTACTAACAAGCTAAAATCTAAACATAACAATAGGTGATGAAGGCACTTCTGTGCTTTCAGTATCTATTTGTGATGTTTAAGAAAATGAAAGTTTTAACTGGTTATGGTGCCTGTAATTCTAGCACTCAAGAGGCTGAGACAAAAGGATTGTGAGTTTAAGGCAAATCTGGATGACATATTGAGACCTCATTTGCAAATCAGTAAAAACATAAATCATAAACCACAGGCCAAATAAACCACAGGCCAAATCTAAGCATCTCACTGGTGTAAGCAAATCTATATAAAAGTAGCATGCTTTTTGCCATAAGTGTTCAGAGATGAAAGATACCAGCTACCCTGGCATCTGGTTGGTAGTGGTGAGTTACGGTATAAATATGAAAGCATCAAAGCTATATTGGCCAGACATGGTAGTGCACGCCTTTAATCCCGGTGCTTGGGAGGCAGAGGCAGGCAGATCTTGGTGAGTTAAGACCAGCCTGGCAAATTCCAAGCCCCAAGGGCTATAAAAACAAAACAACAGCAGAAATCAGTGCATAACATGGTAATAAGTGACATGAAATTGAAACTGGGGGAGGGGTACTCAGTTAATATTTAGAAAGGCATTTATTTGCAAATTCAAACACCTAAATAATCTGAGAGAGTTTGCCCGTACTCTTTCTGTGAAGGAATAGATAGTAAATACTTGAGGCTTTGTTAGCATTTGTCTTCCCCACCTCTTCTTCCCTGCCTCCCACTCCACCCCACCTCCACCCCTACCCCCCACCCTCTGCCCACTACTACTTCTATCCTCCTCCTCCTCCTCCTCCTTTTTTAAGCATTTGACATGAAACATAAAAACAGTAACCCTAGCAAGGTGGCACACAAACAGATTAAGGACTGACTAGATTTGGCCTGTGGATAGTACTTTGTCTCCTTATAGAGAACATAAGAAATTCCCTCCAAAACAAAAGTAGAATAATTGGGAAAAGGCTAAATGGAAAATATGCAAAACTTATTTTTTTAATATTTATTTTATCTATATGAATGACCTGCCTTCATGCACACCAGAAGAGGGCATCAGATCCCCATTACAGACAGTTGTGAGCTGCCATGTGGGTGCTGGGAATTGAACTCACGACCTCTGGAAGGGCAGCCAGTGTTCTTAACCACTGAGCCATTTTTCCAGCCCTTGGAAAATATATAAAACTTATGAGAGGATAATACATATTTTTATCAGTAAAGTATAAGAAAAGGATGTAAGAAAAGCTGAATGTCATAAATAATTTAGAGTGGAATAAATTGAAATGTCAAGTAGTTTTTTCAGTTGGATGTATTGTGGATTAATGTGCCCAGTATCAGGAGACAACTTGTGGGAGTTGACTCCTTTCCTGCACATGGGTCCCAGGGATATCAGGCTTGGTGGCAAGTCCTTTTATCTGATGAACCGTCTCCTCGCCCGATGTCTAGTTCTTACATGGACCTCTTCCTCTATGTTGCAGCTGTCCCCCCAAAACAATCCAAAAGTTCAGTGCAATCCTAACAAAAATCACCTCATTTTTAAGTAAGATGTGGTAATTAGTTTTAAGTTTATTTGTAAAAGGAAGTGTTTAACAATGCTTAAGAGAAGTTTGGAAAAACTGATACTGTCTTATTGTCAAGCATAAAACAATCTCATATTGCCACAAAAATAGACAAATTATTGGAACAAGACCTAGATTCATGAGATCTACTTAAATTTTCCTCAAGCCTGGCTTTGTCTCCTCTCCTGCACCCCCCTAAAACACACAGCACTTTTTTTTTTTTTAAATCAAGGTATTACTCTGTAGTCTAAACTAGCCTATAATTTGAGATTTTCCTGCATTATCTTCTCAAGTTCCGGGGTAACACATGTTTTTTCTAAAAGCGGTGTCTTCTGTTTTTCTTTTCTCTCTGTGTTTAGGTATAAGTGTGCTTGCTGAGTGTCTGGACTGTCCTGAACTGAAAGCAACAGCAGATGACTTTATTCATCAGCATTTTACTGAAGTTTACAAAACTGATGAATTTCTACAACTTGATGTCAAGCGAGTAACTCAGCTTCTCAGCCAGGACACTCTGACCGTGAGAGCAGAGGATCAGGTAGCTCACAGTACTGTCTTCCTAGGTGGTTCTTGGTAGAAAATTCTTTATCAATTCCTTCTACATGATGTTTTAATACATGACAACAAAAAAGTCTTGTATTAGGAGAAAATGTGTTCTTTATAATAAATACATTATCACAAAGTCGTTTTCATTGGAAAAGTCAAGACTATTTGAACTACAGACTGCGTGGTAGAGATAAAACTATTGGGTACCATGTTAGACACAGCAATGCCTCCCCCAAAAGATTTCCTGAACTTATGTTACCTTACATGTAGTAGAGAACTTAGAGCATGTGTCCAAGATGAGGATGAGAGGATGGGTAGGTTATAATTATAATTATGTGATAATAAGGGTCCTTAATTGTGGAAGAGAGTACAGTGTACAAAAGATTTGACCAGTCATTGCTGCTTTGGAGGTGGAAGAGGTCCACAGTACATATGGTTGATAAGAGACTAGAATTGGTCAAGAAATAATTTGTCATATGGGGCCTCCAGGTAGCCCTTCTGGCCTTGATTTTAGCCCAGCATGACTTGATTTACATTCCGTTTTCTAGAACCATCAGTTTAAGTGTCAGGCATGTAAATTGACAAAGGTAGTTAGGAGCAGGTTGTGTGACTTTAATAGACTCACAGTAATATATGTCAGGCACAACAGTGTGTCCAAAGTTCAGTTACCTAGGAAGCTAAAGGAGAAGAATGAATTGAGCCCAAGATGTTGAAACCAGCTAGAATGTAATGTGACCTTACATTCTAACAAATGTAGATAAAAAAAAAAGAAAGAAAGAAAGAAAGAAAGAAAGAAAGAAAGAAAGAAAGAAAGAAAGAAAGAAAGAAAGAAAAAAGAAAAGAAAAGAAAAGAAAAGAAAAGAAAAGAAAAGGAAGATAAAAATTTCAGTTCTCAGGACTAGAGAGGTGGCTCAGTGGTTAAGCACACTGGCTGCTCTTCCAGAGGACCTGGGTTCGATTTCCAGCACCCTCGTGACAGCTCACAACTGTCTGTAACTCCTGTTCCAGGGGATCTGACACCCTTAACACCACAAACATATATGCAGACAAAACACCAGTGCACATAAAATACAAATAAAAATTATTTTAAGGAAAAAACTCACATCAGTTCTCTCATCAAAATTAACTGGCTTGTATGCAGGTGAAGAAAACATGACTTTATACTGGAAAACCTGACAGATACTGCCAGCTGGTGGTCATCAGTGATGTCATATTGAGTACATGCTCACTTGATGTCATAAAAAAGCTAATTGTCACTGGTTTGGTTGGGTTTTGTCAACTTGACACAAACCTAGACACATCTGAAAGAGGGAATTTTAAATTTTGAGAAAATGTCTTTTTAAGACTGTCCAGGGGCTGGAGAGATGGCTCAATGGTTAAGAGCACTGCTTGCTCTTCCAGAGTTCTTGAGTTCAACTCCCAGCAACCACATGGTGACTCACAACCATCTCTAGTAGGATCTGATGCCCTCTTCTGGCATAAAGTTATACATGCAGATAAAAAGTCATATACATAATAAATAATTTTTTAAAATCTTTAAAAAAAAAAAAAAGACTGGTCTGTAGGCAAGTCTGTGGGACATTTTCTTGATTAATGATTGATACAGGAGAGTCCAGCAAGCCAGGAGGAACAAGCCAATAAGCAGAGTTCCCCATGGCCTCTGCTTCAGTCCCTGGCTTCCAGATTCCTGCCTTGAATTCCTACCCCGACTTCCCTTAGTGATGGAGTGTGACCTGCGAGATAAAGCTAAAACAAATCCTTTCCTCCTCAAGTTGCTTTCATCTTTTTTTTTTTTAAGATTTATTTATTCATTATGTATACAGTGTTCTGCCTGCATGTATGCCTGGAGGCCAGAAGAGGGCACTAGACTTCATTACAAATGGTTGTGAGCCACCATGTGGTTTCTGGGAATTGAACTCAGGACCTCTGGAAGAGCAGTCAGTGCTCTTAACCTCTGAGCCATCTCTCCAACCCCTGGTCATGGTGTTTTATCAAGCAACAGAAACCTCAGACAATCATTGTGGTCACCCTCCCCAAAAGCATACTACGCTAATAATACACAAGCATCCAACAAACTGAAACGGAGGACAGTTTACCTGAACAGAATTCAGAAAGAAGGAATGTCAGAAGTTCCCACAGTCTGTCTAAAAAATCCTTAGGTGATTTATTGACTTAATATAATGTGGTCTCCTTAATGGAGTAATGGGAAGGAAAATCATACTAGATAAACACTAGAGAAATATAAAAATTATGGTATTAATATAGGAATATTAACTCACTGGTTATGACAGATGCTTTATACTGTAGTGACTGGGTGCAGAGAATACTAAATCTAATCTGTTATGCACTTGACCTTAGCAAAAGACCAAAAAGCATTCTAAACATGTTGTAAAATAAAAAGCCTGTCTTTAAAATTCCAGTTCCCATAATTTATTAACTAACTCAAACATATGTGTAGTAGATGAGTATGTATATGAAATAAGTTGTTGGTGATATTTAATGATTTATAAGTTAAAGTATATTAATGAACTTGAACTTGTTCAGTGCAGTTAAATGAATGCTACAGTATTATTTTTAAAGCAATTCTCATAAATATCCTATATTTTATTAAATATAGAATTGTATATCTTAAAAATTTTTTTAGAAACGGGTAAGTCTGTTGGTTCACAGTGTAGAAATACAAGGTTAAAATAAATAACTCTTTTATCTCCTGCAATGGAAGCCCTCTTGGGAAACCTGTGTTCCTGGTCCTGAGCATAATTGGAGCTATCACTGACTAATAGACTTCTTTCGGTATCATGTGACTGCTTCTGAAGAGGAAGCTGTGGTTTGTTGTTTTAAAAAACACATCATAAATTTTGGGACTGAAGAGATGGCTCAGTGGTTAACAGCACTTGCTGCTCTGCCCATGGAGTTCAGTTCCCAGCACCACATCTACCTAGAACACAACTGCCTAGTCACAGCTGCCTAGAACTCCAACTGCAAAGAATGCGATAACCTCTTCTGGCCTCTACAAGAACCTACCAACATGCGGAGACACATACATTCATAGACAAGAAAAAATAAAGTCCCTCTACAGAATTTTATTTTATTATTTTTATTTTTTTTATTTTTAATTAATGTATATGTGTGTGGATATGTGCACTTGTGTACAAGTACCCTTAAAAGCCAGAGGCATTGGACCCGCTGGAGCTGGAGCTAGAGACCATTGTGACTTGCCCGACATGGGTGCTAGGAACCAAACTCAGGCCCTCTAGAAGAGCAGTATGTGCTCTTAACAGCCGAACCATCTCTCCAACCCCATAAATCTTTTTTTTTAAATCACAACTTTAACATTCTTCCCATTACTATGTGTATTCGTAGTTAGTCATAGCAAACACACTGCCTAAAAGGCTCACTAACACATGAGTGAAGTGTTGGAGGTATAATCAGGTGTTGAGGAATGCCAATGAGTATTTGGACAAACTCCTGAGAATAATTGTCCCCTTTTCAGTGTCAGAGTGAAAATAGATGTTTGGAATTTTGCTGCCATCTCAGAACTTTACTGTTCTGTTTTCCCCTTTAGGTTTATGATGCTGCAGTGAGGTGGCTGAAATATGATGAGCCTAATCGCCAGCCATTTATGGTTGATATCCTGGCTAAAGTCAGATTTCCTCTTATATCGAAGAATTTCCTAAGTAAAACCGTACAAGCTGAACCACTTATTCAAGACAATCCGGAATGCCTTAAAATGGTGATAAGTAAGTTGCCTTCATACCCATTTATGTATGGATCACATGGCCATCTCCCATGGACTAAAAACCCATTCAGTGGATCAGACTCACTAGCCAGGGAAAAACATTGAAGACGTCTTCTTAGTGTGGGTTCTCAGCCCCCTGAAAAGGATTAGCCTCAGCCATTATTTTATAGTGAAAAAGTGAAGGGTTTTTTTCCCCCTTGGGCCTTTTCTAATTTGTTCACAATAGCTTTCATGTACTTTGTTCATAGTGTTTCCTTTTTATTTAATTAAGTAGTGTCCCATCTCAGCAAATCTGAATGAAGTGTGGTAACTAGTCATGCATGCTTTACATGCTGAAGAATTGTTTTTGTTTTTGTTTGTGAACTATATCTAGGTTCTGTATCTACTTTTTTGTGAAGTTGCTGGACTTCAACTTACTGAGAGGATAGCTTTGTAATTTTATTTTGTGTAGTAGGTATTTTCCTAGTTTGCCACTTTTCCTTTCCAACATTTATGAGATTTTTTTCAAATTTCAATTTTTGTTGAGAAGAAAATATGAGGTAGGAAATACAATTTTTCCTGTACTATCTAACATTAATAGACAATCCATTTTCCCCACACTAATTTAAAATGACATCTTAAACAGTTTTTGATTATGTGACTCAGCCAAATTAAGGAAGATCCATAATAGTTTTGAATCCTCATTGCATGTGATCTAAGATAGTTCTTCTCAAAGTTTTATGTGCATCTGAGTCAACTTGGGATTGTCCAGTGCACAGGGATTGGTGTGGTAGCTTTTAGGTAGTGGGGTTCAGCATTTCTAAGG